TCAAGAGAATTAAGGAGGAAGACTTTGTAAATATGAGTATCTGCTTTTAAAAAGGAAGTGTGGGATTGGATTAAGTAGACAATACACATTTTAATTTGGGGATGTTGGCCGAGAGGAGGTGAGAAGATGAGGTCTTTGTGAGCTTTGGTTTAGTAGGGAGAATTTACAGAAATAGCAATAAAGTTAGCTTGAAGCAAAAAGCACCAATTAGGTTTGGCAAGAATCTAACTGTAATAACAGTAATTGGTTGATAAAGATTGTGGTGAATTTTTAAATTTTATTTCAAAAACTAATATATATCAATTCAGAGTTAGGAATAGGGTAAGAGAATTTTTATAGCATGAGAGATTTGAACTGTTAGGTTGGGAGGAAAAAAGTCAAACCTTACTAACTTTGTTTTTGCATTACCCATTCGAACTGCGGACTGTCATTTCTTAACAAGACTTCAAGATGCCTTTTGTAGTTCAGTTTCCTTTAATTAGATTTTATCTCCTATCAAACCACCTATAGACATTTTAACTTGGTTATTCATCTTTTTTATGTCTAAAACTGACCTCTTTCTGTCAGACTTCTAATCTTCCAACCCTCTTTGAAGGCTCTTTCTCTCTCATAGCCAAATTGTATCCATTGTTTATTTGTAGTCTTTCATAATTTGTGTCCACTATCAAACAGTCATAATTTCATGTCTTCCAGTGGTGGTGTTGTCAAGAAATTTTCACTTTCCCATTCATCTTGAGTATCAACAGACTGCCTCCCCAAAATGCCCTTGTGTCTTTACTTCTCGGTTCATTCATGTTAAGTGGCTTCTCCCCATTGCCTATGTCAGAGTCCAGACGTTAGTGTGACTCATTTTTCAAAATCCTTAATTATAGGCATACCTTGGAAATATTGTGGGTTTGGTTCCAGACCCCTATAATAAAACGAATATCGTAACAAAGCAAGTCAAGTGAATTTTTTGGTTTCCCAGTGCATATAAAAATTATGTTTACACTATACTATAGTCTATTGATAGTGCAATAGCATTATGTCTAAAAAGACAATGAACATACCTTAATTAAAAAATACTTTATTGCTAAAAAATGCTAACTATCATCTGAGCTTTCAGTGAGTAGCAATCTGTTTGCTGGTGTAGGGTCTTGCCTCCATGTTGATGGCTGCTGACTGATCAGGATAGTGGTTGCTGAAGGTTGGGTGGCTGTGGCAGTTTCGTAAAATAAGACAACAATGAACTTTGCTACATCAACTGACTCTTTCACAAACGATTTCTCTATAGCATGCAATGCTATTTGATGGCATCTTACCCACAGGAGAACTTCTAAATGGGAATCAGTCAAATCCTGCCACTGCTTTCTCAACTAAGTTTATGTAATATTCTGAATCCTTTATTGTCATTTCAGCAATCTTCACAGCATCTTCAGCAGTAGATTCCATCTCAAAAAGACCACTTTTTTTTTGTTCATTTGTGAGAAGTAACTCCTCATTCATTAAAGTTTTATCATGAGATTACACAACTCAATCATATCCTCAGGCTCCACTTCTAATTCTGTTGCTCTTTCCACCACATCTGCAGTTACTTCCTCCACTGAAGTCCTGAACCCCTCAAAGTCATCCATGAGGATTGGAATCATCTCCTTCCTCACTTCTGTTAATGTTGCTATTTTGACCTCTTCCCATGAATCAAATGCTCTGAAGGTTTTCAGTTTACTTTGCCTGGATCTATCAGAGAAATCACTGTGTATGGCAGCTATAACCTTACAAAATTTGTTTCTTAAATAACAAGACTTGAAAGTCTAAATGACCCCTTGATCCATGGGCTGTCAAATGGATATTGTGTTAGCAGGGATGAAAACAAGATAAATCTCATTGTACATCTCCATCAAAGCTCCCTGGGTGATCAGGTGCATTGTCAGTAAGCAGTAATATTTTGAAAGGAATCTTTTTTTCTGAGCAGTAGGTCTCAATAATGGGCTTAAAATATTCAGTGAATCACGTTGTAAACAGATGTGCTGTCATCCAGCCTTTGTTGTTCCCTTTATAGAGCAAAAACAGTAGATTTAGCATAATTGTTAAGGGCCCTATGTTTTTTGGAATCGTAAATGAGCACTGGCTTCAATTTAAAGTCACCAGCTGCATTAGCCTCTAACAAGAGAGTGAGCCTGTCCTTTGAAGCCAGGCATTGACTTCTTCTCTATAGCTATGAAAGTCATAGATGGAATCTTCTTCCAATATAAGGCTATTGCATCTACATTGAAAATTTGTTACTTAGTGTAGCCACCTTCACTAATTATCTTAGCTGGATCTTCTGGGTAACTTGCTGCAGTTTCTATATCAGCACTTGCTGCTTCACCTTGCACTTGATGTTATGGAGATGGCTTCTCTCCTTAAACCTCATAAACCAGCCTCTGCTAGCTTTAGACTTCTCTTCTGGAGCTTCCTCACCTCTCTCAGCCTTCACAGTATTGAAGAGAGGCTAGAGCCTTGCTCTGGATTAGGCTTTGGCTCAAGGGAATGGTGAAACTGGTTTGACCTTCTATGCAGACCACTAAAACTTTCTCCTATCAACAATAAGACAGCTTTGCTTTCTTATCATTCATGTGCTCACTGGAGTAGCGCTTTTAATTTCCTTCAAGAACCTAAAATCCTTTGCATTTACAACAGGCTCTGGCCTATCTTGGATTTTGACATGCCTCACTAAGTTTAATCAGTTCTAGCCTTTGATTGACAATTGAGATAGGTACAGCTCTTCCTTTCACTTGAACACTTAGAAGCCACTGTAGGGTTATCATCATCATCATCATCATCATTATTATTATTAATTAGGGTCATTTCAGTATTGTTGTGTCACAGAAAATAGGGAAGTCCAAGGAGAGGGAAAGAGATGGGGAAACAGTCAGTGGAATAGTCAGAATACACACAACATTTATCAATGAAGTTCACCATCTTCATGGATATGGTTCATAGCACCCCAAAACAATTAGAGTAATAACATCGAAGATCACTGGATTGGGCGCCTAGATGGCTCAGTCAGTTGAGCATCCAACTCTTGGATTTCAGCTCAGGTCATGATCTCGGAGTCATGGGATCGAGCCCCAAGTCAGGCTCTGTCTCCCTCTGCCCAGCCCCCCACTCGTGCTCTCCTGCATGCTCTCTCTCTCTCTCATATAAACAAGTAAACCTTTAAAAAAAAAAGATCAGTGGACCATGGATTGCCCTAACAAATACAATAGTAATGAAAAGGTTTGGGGCGCCTGGGTGGCTCAGTTGGTTAAGCGACTGCCTTCGGCTCAGGTCATGATCCTGGAGTCCCGGGATCGAGTCCCGCATCGGGCTTCCTGCTCGGCAGGGAGTCTGCTTCTCCCTCTGACCCTCCTCCCTCTCATGCTCTCTGTCTCTCATTCTCTCTGTCTCAAATAAATAAATAAAATCTTTAAAAAAAAAAAAAAAGAAAGAAAAGGTTTGAAATATTCTAACAGTTACCAAAATGTGGCACAGAGACATGAAGTGAGCAAATGCTGTTGGAAAAATGGTGCCAATAAATTCGCTCAATGCAAAAAAAAAAAAAAAATTTCACTCAGTGCAGGGTACCACGAACTTTAAATTTGTAAAAAACACAGTATCTGCAAAGCTCAATAAAATGAGATATACCTGTATTTAATCCCAATCTGCTTTATTAATATTTGTTCCACAAAATCTCCGATACAAACCTTTAACTCCAACTAAATCTGTTCCAGTTAACCTTGTTTAGAATATGCTTTTACTTATTATCACACTAAAATCTGTCTTTACTCATGCCGTTCCCTTCACTAGGAGTCCTTTTTCCCTCTTCAAGTCCTGCATATACTACTGTGTACGAAGCCCATCAGACTATGCCTCCCTTATTAACACAGTTCTGTGTACGGTAGTCTACAATACTAACTCTCTGTTGAACTTAGAAACCACTTATTATTTGGCACATAGTCATGTTTTAATAGTGTTACCTTTTCAGAAATCCATGGTTTGTCTAATTGAGTTGCAAAACTTTTCTAGGGAAAATTTTGTTTCTATATGTCATTGAGTCTTCCACAGTCTCAGAGTACTATGCATAATTTAGATGTTCAGTAAATATTTTTATGGATGATTTATGACTGGTGATTGGTCAGTTTCTTGAGGATTCTTTAGAAATAATGTGGTTGCTTTTTTGTTTTTGTTTTCATTTCTGTGGAGTAGATTTATATGGTGCTATCTAAAGGCAGAGATAGGAGCTCAGTTGCTCTATGTGCTACCTTGAGTTTAGAGGAAGCATATAATGAATTGAGATGACTTTGTTGTGTTATTTTAGGACTTTTTCTATTTAAATACCACATATGTAATTTTTTAAAGAGTTTATTTAGAGAGTGAGAGCGTTCACGAACGGGGGTGAGGCAGAGAGAGAGGGAGAGAGAATCCTAAATAGACGCTGTGCCGAGTGTGGAGCCCGACACAGGGCCTGATCTCACAATCCTGAGATTATGACCTGAGCTGAAATCAAGAGTTGGACACTTAACTGACTGGGCCACCCAGGCGCTCCCTACATATCATTTTTTAAAAGGTCATTAATTTAAAACAATTCATATAGCACTTGAATGTGCAAAACATTTAATTATATAGTATTATATGCCTAATGAATATAATACTTAATGGTTATGTTTTGTTCAGCATTCAAATCATATTTTTGATTAGGTTATAATTTTTACTGTATTTGCATGAATCCATTTTACTGTAAAATAGCTCCTTAAACGGAACAGTGACTTGGTTTGCTGTCAGCTATTGCTAGTTAGAGAGCTTTTCCACTATGTTAGTAGTGAGGATTTGTAATTCAAGCATTTGCACAAAAAAATAGTTCTTCTCAATAAAAAGGTTCAAATATGTCTGTTAGAATTGTATTAACTAATCACTCGTTAATCACGTACTATTTTAGTAGTGATGAGAGTGTAACAACCAGAAGGTGGTTAACATCAAGCTATTTTCATTTTGTTTTACAGAATAATAATAACCTGGATGCTTGCTGTGCTGTTCTCTCTCAAGAGAGTACAAGGTATCTTTATGGTGAAGGAGACTTGAATTTCTCGGATGACTCTGGAATTTCTGGCCTCCGAAATCACATGACTTCTCTCAACTTGGACTTGCAGTCACAGAATGTTTACCACCATGGAAGAGAAGGAAATAGAATGAATGGAAGCAGGACTCTGACGCACAGCATCAGTGACGGACAACTTCAAGGTGGTCAGTCCAATAATGAACTCTTTCAGCAGGAGCCACAGACAGCACCAGCTCAAGTTCCTCAAGGCTTTAATGTTTTTGGAATGTCTAGTGCGTCTGGTACTTCAAATTCAGCACCACATCTTGGATTTCAGTTAGGCAGCAAAGGAACATCTAACCTTTCTCAGCAGACGCCCAGATTTAATCCCATTATGGTAACTTTAGCCCCAAATATCCAGACTGGTCGTAATACTCCCACATCTCTGCACATACATGGTGTCCCTCCACCTGTACTTAACAGTCCACAGGGAAATTCTATCTATATTAGGCCTTACATTACAACTCCTAGTGGCACAGCTCGGCAGACGCAACAGCATTCTGGCTGGGTATCTCAGTTTAATCCTATGAACCCTCAACAAGTCTATCAACCTTCACAACCTGGTCCCTGGACTACTTATCCTGCATCTAATCCTATGTCACATACCTCAGCCCAGCAGCCAAACCAGCAAGGCCACCAGACCTCTCACGTCTACATGCCCATCAGTTCACCTACTACTCCACAGCCACCAACAATTCATTCATCTGGTAGCTCACAGTCTTCTGCCCATAGCCAATATAACATTCAGAATATTTCAACAGGACCTCGAAAAAACCAGATTGAAATCAAACTTGAACCCCCACAAAGAAACAGCTCTTCAAAATTGCGTTCTTCTGGACCTCGAACCTCCAGCAGTTCCTCTTCAGTCAACAGCCAGACCTTAAATAGAAATCAGCCCACTGTTTACATAGCTGCCAGTCCCCCAAATACTGATGAGGTGATGTCCCGTAGTCAACCCAAGGTCTATATTTCAGCTAATGCCGCCCCAGGAGATGAACAGATCATGCGGAATCAGCCCACCCTCTTCATATCCACAAACTCTGGAGCATCTGCTGCCTCCAGGAATATGTCTGGGCAAGTGAGCATGGGTCCTGCCTTTATTCATCACCACCCTCCCAAAAGTCGAGCAATAGGCAATAACTCTGCAACTTCTCCTCGAGTCGTGGTCACTCAACCCAATACAAAATATACTTTCAAAATTACAGTTTCTCCTAATAAACCCCCTGCAGTTTCACCAGGGGTGGTGTCCCCTACCTTTGAACTTACAAATCTTCTAAACCATCCTGATCATTATGTAGAAACAGAGAATATTCAGCACCTCACGGACCCTACTTTAGCACATGTGGATAGAATAAGTGAAGCACGGAAGTTGAGTATGGGATCTGATGATGCTGCCTACACTCAAGGTAATAATCCTGAAGGTGGGGTCACTTTCCATGCTGGGCTTATTGGTGTACCTTTGATTTTACTTGTAGAAATGGCTCTCAGTATTATTATTTCATCTTTTTTTAAGTGTCAAATCATACTACTTTTAAAACCTCAGAGTATTCATACAAATTGTGAATTTCATTTTTACTATCATATAACTTAAAAGTTTGAAGGATAGGGTTATTACATCTTCAGTATAATCCATCCTGGTGTGCTTACTTTCTTAATGTTTTAACCCTTTCTTTTCAGTTAATTCTCTTCTCTGTGGTGATGTTGACTTGCTCTTTAAAATTTTTGTGAATAAAAATTCATAAAAACACATCTTAGTAAGATATTAGTGGCCTCGTATAGTCGGTAAATCTGCCTTCTTTGACCAGGCGATTTCTCTATTCTTCAAGTATTTTCGTTTTTCTAATATAACATTGTTAGTCTTATTTTATATCAAAATCTAACTTCTTACAAGTCCTAGAATAATTTACCTCTAAGAGAGATTTTGAGTTCTGTTCTCAATATTTGTTTCTTTCAGCCTCCTTTAAACATCAGTTAATGCAGCCTTTATCTTTATTTGGAATTGTGGATAAAAACATTAGTTAGTCTATCTCATTTGATTATCCTCTTCTGAAATAGACTAGTTGATATTGGCATAATACTAAATTATATCTGTATTAATTCAAGTAGAGATAATTTCTGTCATATGTGTTTTATTTGGTCCCTTAAGTTACTTAATCTTCAGTAAGAAACCATTAAACTCCTTCCGATATGAAAGTGGAGGTTAAGTGTTTGTTTTCTTGAATATTGATGCAGGTTTGTAGATTGGCTGAGAGTCCTTTAGAGCAACAACATATCGTAGTCATCTTTGTATCCGCAGCGAGCTGTTCCAAGTATTGTAGGTTGGAGAAGAATAGATTATCACCCCCTTGCAACATGCAGCCCTGTACGACCACTAGTACCACTTGTTCTTTTAAAAATTTCTTAAAATAGTGATTTTACTGCTGAGTTTCTCAGAGGAGTCTGATTGTTATGTTTAAACTACTGTATTCTTGTGCTTCTCAACTCAAGCTGGGCTGTGATGCTTTCAGATTTCATAAACACCTATGGAGCTTTCAAATAAGGATGCCCAGGGCTCATCCCAAACTTGCTCAGTTAGAATCTGAATGGTGAGGTCTAGGTGTGCATGTGTGTTTTAAAGGTCCGTGGGTGATTCCGATTGCACTAGAAATTGTGCTAAAACTGGACCCGTTTTTGTTTAGTTTCAGGCAATACATGAATTTTAATATACTATTATTTATTTCACTGATATTTAATTCCTGTTTTTCTCCCACAGTCCTCTTCTCCTTCTCTCCTTCCAGCAAATAGCAGATTTCCTGTATTTAGGTAGTTGCTGTTTCTTAAATGGAGAGTAAATTGTTGTATGAAGATAATTTGATAAAGGGAATTTTCAGTTGAAATAGACATAATCACCTTTAACTGGAGTGTGAATATAAAGTGTTGCTTAAACTTGCTATCTCCAGTTTCTCTCATTCTCTTTTGAATCTAATCCAGTCAGGATTTTATCCACTATAGTCACCCAGAACTGCTCTTGTCAAGGTCATGAGTGACAGCATTGTTACAAAACCCACAGTCTCCTTTCAGCCTTCATCTTCCTTGATGTATGTATCAGCAGCATTTACCAGTCAAGCACCCTCTTCACTGTGAAACATTTTGTTCATTTGACTTCAGGATACTACTCTAGAATTTCCACCTCTCTTTTTATTCTTAGCTGGTTCTCCCTCCCTCAGCTCTTACCTCTTTATCCTTCCACTTCTCAAAGAAATGAGATCAAAGCCTCAAAGCTTAATCCTTGGGCCTTTTCTCTTTTCTGTCTGTACCATTCTGTAGGTGATCTCATTCAGCCTCATGACTCTAAATATTAGATGCTAATGCCAGAGTGCATGGGTGGCTCAGTTAAGCGTCCCATTCTTGATTTCTGCTCAGGTCATGATCTCAGGATCATGGGATCAAACCCCATGTCAGGCTTCACGCTCAGCGCAATCTGCCTAGATTCTCTCTCTCCCTCTCCCTCTCCCTCTCCCTCTGCCCTTCCCTGCACACACATGCGCGTGTGCTCTCTTTCTCTCTCTCTCTAGATAAATAAAATCTTTTAAAAACAATATAAATAAATAAATAAATATTATGTGCTAATGATTCCCAAATTTGTAACTCTAACCTAGACTTATTCCCCAAATTTCAAGCCAGTTTATTTAACATGTCCATTTGAATGTTCACTAGGCATCTCGAATTTTCTGTATCTGAAATACCTTCTGATATTCCCCCAGCTTACTCTTCCTATGATCAGTCCTCCCATCTCAGTTAATGGCAACTTAATTTTTTTAGTGCTTAGGCCAGATACTTCAGAAACACCCTTGACTCCTCCTTTCTTTCATATTTCACATCTAATTTGACAGTAAAATCTGTCAACTCTAACCTTCAAGGTGTATTAAGAGTTCTCTCCTTACCACCTATGGCCACCACTCTGGTCTGAGCTACCATCATCTCAAGTGGATTATTGCAGTAGCCTACCTGCTTTCACTCTTGCTTCCTTATGGTCTTCTTTCAAATAAGCAGCCAGAGAGACACTGTTAAAAAACATAAGTCAGATTATATAATTCCTCTGCATATGATGGCTTTTTCATTCAGAGTAAAAGCTGTGAAGCCTTGCATGACCCACTGCCCATCCCACAGCTCTTTTCCTTCTGCTTACCAGCCCTATTGGCCTTCTTGCTATTCCTTAAACATGGAAGGCATGCCTTAGGATCTTCGTACTTGCTGTTTTCTCTGTCCGAAATTCTCTTCTCCCAGAATCCACAATTAACTCCCTTCAGATCTTTACTCAAAAGTCACCTTCACCTTTTCCATGAGATTATCTCTGGTCTTCGTGTCTTAATCTCCACCCAGCATTCCTATCTCCATTTTTGCTTATATTTGCTTAGAGAGGGGGGAAATGAATAATCTAATATTAAGACATATAATAACTAATACATAATACATAATACACTGAAAGCTTACTATGTGCTAGGCAATTTTCTGAATGCCCATTTATTCCTCACAACCAACTATAATGTAGACATTAGTATTATTACTATTTTCAGATTAAAATATTTAGGAACAGGGGCTACCTGGGTGGCTCAGTCAGTTAAGCATCCAACTCTTGATTTCAGCTCAGGTCATGATCTCGGGGTTATGAGATCGAGCCCCACACTGGGCTCCACACTGAGCATGGAGCCCACTTAGGATTCTCTTCTCCCTCTGCCCCTCCCCCTGCGCTCTCTCCCACTCTCTCTCCCCCCACCCAAATAAGTAAATAAATAAAATACTTATGAACAGACTGGGTAAGTAAGAACCTTGCCAAAGGACAAATAGCAGAGTCAAAGATTCTAACCTAGGAAGTTGCCAATGGAGCCCACACTCTTAACCGCAGCACTGTAACATCTTTCCACATTTGCAAAAGAAGCCCTCTGGAAGGATGTTTAAGTTTGTCTTATAGCTTCACATAACCCCTGGTACATCATTGTGGGGGCCACATGTTCCCCAGTTTAAGAAGTGTGAAGCTAAAAGATCACTCAATAAAAAGTAAAACAAGAACAGGCAGCTATAGGGAAAGAAATCACAACATACAGATGTAATTAGGAAAACAACTTGAAAAATAAAGTAATACCCTGGAGTGGTATGGGGAGCACCTTCCAAAGGCACCTAAAGGTGAAAAAAAACACTGATGAGTGAAGCCTCTGGTTTGAGAGCTCAAAGCCTACCCAAATAGCAAATAGCAGGGTTCCTCAGAATCTGCCACTCAAATTACTTCTCTTCACTAACAGCCTTCAGACAGTTTAAACAACTACACTCACTTTCTTTAAACATATCTACGTACCTGTGGAATTCCGTAACTTTCATGTGGCTGTGCATCCGTGTATTATCTCTCTGCATGCACTCTGTATTGGGGGAGGTCCTGTTTTGCAGCCTTTCATCTTGTTTCCTTCTGTTTCGTACGGAACTGCCGTTGTTGACCCAGATTTATGCATATCCAGTGACAAAGTCTTGATGGAGTGTGTCTTTGACTTGGTTCTGTTAAGATCAGAGGATTGTTCTTTTCTGCAAATGCATCTTTTATGATGTTACCTTACATGTGTGTGTTGCTCTACAGTTTATATAGCACTCACTACCGTACTTCATACGGCAACCCAGATAATACTGATATTTAAGCAAGCATCTTTTCTCAACTCTGATTTGTGTGGTGTGGGTAATAAAGAGAAAAGAAATCTCTCTGCCTCCTGCAGTGAAATTGATCTTTCCAAAGCTCCTGGAACATACTGTTTCCGAGTAGGAAAAGAAGCTGTGCCAGGTATAGAGTCCTAGGAAAATATTTTTCTCAAAAACTGAGGAGGGAACATACATAAATAAGTTTGGTAAACAAAATGCAGTATTTTTCATTTATATTTCATCTAACATTTAAAATCTACAATAAAACATTTCAAAAATGAGAATTTATGTTTATAAAAGATACATTGTTGGATATGCTCTCTGCTATAGAATGAGCAGAGGAAAAAGAGGTAAATTAATGAAACTTCTACCACTCTCCTGCTCATTTCGTCACCAAGTCTCCCACCACCACTGCGAAAGGAAATAAATTACATTTGAGTCTTTAAACTACCACAGGAATCAGAGACACCAATGAGTGCCCAAGAGAAAAGACAAATTCATGTTAGAGAGAAATTCCATTTCATAGTCTATGGATATGAAGAAGACTCTTATTTTACCTGCTAAGAAGAACAAATATTGAAGCGAAAATTTCTCAGCAGTAGTAAAGGTTACTGTGTGGCCAAATAGCTACATCTCTCCCCCCTCATCCCCCCCCCTTGAGTCATACTACCTGACTCTACGTAACTTCTGAAAATACCAGTAAATACCTGATCATTCACTGTATTCTGAGACTCTCTGGTGTTTT